ATGTAAATACCCCTTATTTTCAGAGAAAAGAATTTCTTATGGGTGGCATTGCAAGTGGAAGGACATTTCTGATAAGTTGGAAGTATGTCAGGCCAATTATAGAGAAGATTAATCATTCTTGTTCTGAGAGTTGTAACTGATGCTTGGTTACAAAAAGTTACCGAACAAAATGCTACATGGAGAAGCCCAACGGCCTAAAAGTTTAAGTTTTAAGATGAAAACTGCTATGAAATGCTCCTTTACAAATGAATCGGAGATTGACAGGAATCAAGAATTTCCAAACTTGTCTATCTAAGATAAATCACTACTATACAAAAAGCCTTTTCTTGGAAATCAAGTATGCCAAAGCACATGAATTCCAAACCTATTCTTTAAAACTTTTAATAGTTTGGGTGCTATTGTTCATGTTGCAGAAATTGAGGCAAGAATGACCTCTTGCAAAAAAATAAACAAGAGGAACTTACAAGACAAAATGAATCGTGTTCAGCAGCTAATCTAGGACCTAAGGAACTTCAATCTCAAATTGCTAGCTCTCCAGCTTCGTACTTTTAATTTCATCCAGTTGAGTATTCTCAGCATGAAAAATATCTCAGTCCATATGCATTTTTTGTAGTAGCTTGTATTTCTCAATTACAATCATGAAGAACAATGCTATTGTGTATCTTTCCACATGGATGCAAACATTCAACACCACAAACCATCAGATGGTAACTGTAAAACTTGACAAGTTCAATGCCAACTTTCTAGGTCTGATCTTTCTTTTCCACATTTTTTATCCCTCAAGCTTGTCACCTCAAAATTTAAGTGTCCACATCACTCAACAATCACAACCACAACAGCCTATTTTCACCTTTCTGGTGCTGTATTTCAGCTTCCATTGCAGTTTATAAAGTTGTCCTGATTGGAGAGAAGGAAATAGAGCTTTTGGGGTGTACCAAGACAGTATGAATATGAAAATTTTACTGCCTTCACCCAAAACTGAAGGCCATAGTTCGACTAAAGAGAATATGAATAAAAAAACTGAATAACATAATAGCCCAAAGAGAGTGTGAACAGAATACAGGAATTCCAATAGAGTTAGTGAAAAACATGTAGATGAACCCTTTAATCATTTCTGTTATACACAAAGGATACATCAAATGAAGAAATATCAAAGAAAACAACAATTCTTTTTGGGGAGGCCAAAACAAGAAATCAGAATTCGAAACACCAGGGAGTTTATAATTCTCCATACTTTCTTGGAGTAGGCAATCTTGTGAATTCATGGACGTATAACAAATATACTTCCAAAACAGCCTACTTTTCTTGCAAAAATGATTGCAACCCATAATAGTGGTTCAGTTCTTATAGGCTTGGTTTACATTGTTTTACAACCTGGCCAACTATCATAGTACTTCTAGGTGGATAACTAATCCAGTCAAACTAGGATACCAGGTCCTGATTTAATATGTAAGGGGATCCAATACTGTATCTTCATTACAGTTGCTCCAGCATCATTTCTTTCTCGTCGAGTCTCAGCCTGACGGCCTACTCAAGGGTTCCCCACCAATAATCAACTAAATTTGGAAAACCAAAACTTCACTAAATTTCTAAGCATTAGCACATTTATTCACCAAAAATTATTTAGCCCCTCAGACTAGAGGGTACATTTGCTTATCTGGGTTGAGGTCTCAGTTTTACCATCTGCATCAAAGTTTTGAAAGAGTTCATAAGTGGCTAAATCTGCCACCAACCAATCAGTTATAGATCCTGCTGAAAGTAAGAAAAAAGAAATCAGCAGGAATGCTGGAAGCAATAAGAGTGTTGGCTTACCATAGGATCAAATAATGTCCCAACAGTTGGTACAACAGATACACCCAAGTTCTTCATGATTTCTACAAATTGCTTGTATATGCCCTGATAACTTGCATCAATTTTCTTTTCCTGCTCTGTCTCTAGTTTCATATGTTGCTTGGCTCGTTCAAAGTTATCTACCATAGGCAAGAGACTCTCAATCACTTCTCCCTGGGCATTACTCCTTATTGTTAGCTTCTCATTCTCTGTTCTCTTCCTGAAGTTGTCAAAATCTGCTTGCAAACGAACATACTTGTCCTTCTGAGCACCAATTTCATCTGACAAAACAGAAACCTTTTCTAACAACTCATTCCTCTCCTTTTCTACCATGTGTATTATCTCTTCAAAATCGGATATACTTTTCTCATCTCCATTTAAAATGGCCTCCTTATAAGCTGAGATAGTAGACTCCAATCTTGAAGGAAGTTCTTGGTCCGCTTCCTCTTCTGTTTTACTGAGAGGAGTCTCATCTTCATCATCAGTCTATCATGTATCACATTGATATTATTAAGCATGCAATGGCAGCTATAAAAGTACTCAAAATTTCTACCATTATACAGAAAATTTATATGGTTGATGAAAAATTACCATTACTTGTTACCTTTGTAAATGAACTGAACATTGCATGAGATAAGAACCAATAATAGGTTCAAAACAGAGACACTGACAGAGGAAGCGATCTCTAAACTTTGAAGTATGAGACACACACTGTAAAGTATACAGACATGGTACACTAACTCTCTCTCTCTCTCTCTCTCTCTGTTTTGATTCATTGGTGGTGGTGTAAGGGGAACTCAACTTAACCTCGTCCCGTTTTAATAGTTTTTGAAAAAAGAGACAAACAAAACTTCATTTTTCAGCAGCAGCCTTGAAGCCAGCAAGAAACACTATGAATGAAATACTTACTTACAATTCCTGTCAATAAGTTGATTTAGTAATTTCTCTGAAAGCAGACACCTTAAAGCAAAATTGATGAAAGAAAAGATGTATCTGTTCACTGTATTTTGACCAAATTCCAGCAGATTTGCACAATTTTTTAGAATAAAAAATCAACTAAAATAACAACATCTTTGTTCATGTTTACATATCTATACTTGAAATTCAGCTTGTAATTCCCCAAAATCAAGCCTGCTTACCAATAACCAATATCAAATTTAATAAATGAATCTAAGATACATAAAGAATCAAAATTGGCTTCGACTAAACACACCAAGCGAAGAAAGAACATCAGCCACAACTTCCATCACGAGTTAAAAGCAACTAAACAAAAAAAAATTACTTCGGAAGCGGAGTCTTCGGATTGTGACTGAGAAGCTTTAAGAAATCGGCATCTCCTGCTGCTGTTGTTATTGATTACCGGAATGTTTGCATTTTTGGGCAAACAAAAACAAAAGCCTCTGGAGGAAATGGGTTTCAAGGAAAATGGGTTTGGAAATAATTTGAAGAAGATGAAGGAAGGATGGGCGATGAGGAGAAGCATATGAACAAAGATAAGCTGTTGAAGCTGAAGCTGTTGGTGCCGCCGCCATAGAAGTTTCTAGTATTATCACTGAAGATTGAAAGGGAGAGTCTGGTAATTTCACACCAGCGGAGGAAGAAGAAGGTGGAGTTGGTGTAGGGGTTTTGGGATAAGAGAAAACGATGTCGTTAAGTCAGAAAGCCGAAAACGACAAAAAAGAATAAAATAAAAACAAAAGGCCCAACTTAGCCTTATTCTAGATACATCTTCACGCGTGTGCTGCATTTTCTGGTCTCTCACTAGCGCCAAAACAGCTGCATTTGAGTTGAGTTCAACAGTTGACAACTCGAATTTTAACTAAAATATCGCTGAGTTTTTAGAAACCGAATCGTGCTAGCTCGATTTTAGTTTAACTTTTCTTTTTTGCCGTAACTGCACGTTTAACATAACCTAACCTACTCTTACTTCTACCAGGGGAACCTACTCTATAAGATGGCTTAATTGAGTCAGAAAACCTGACGAGAACTGAACAATCATTAAACTAAACGGATGCACCACACACTCAATGGATTTTGAACTCTTAACCTCCCACCCCACAATAAATGCGATGACCAATTCCTCTTGAGGGAGTTTTAGTTTAACTTGAGTTCATAAAAATTCGAGATCGAGCTAGATCGATTTTAGTTTTACTTGAGTTTGAACTTAAGTTAATTGAGTTTGATGAAATCTAATCAAGTTTAATGGAGTCTATTCAATCTAATCAAATTCACCTAATAAAATGATATTTCGATATTTCGCTTGTATTATAAACACATTTTTTAATTTACTTTTTTCTATTTTCAACCATTTTTTTTATCTCACGTACATCATATCACAAAAAATGTTACAGTAATTATTTCAAATAATACTCTATCTTACATATAATTTTAAACAAAGAATATAATCGATATTTTACAATAATAAACATAAAAAATAAAAATAATATATATGTGTGTGTATGTGGGTGCATGTGTGTGTGTGTCGGTTAGATTTGTCAAGCTTACAAGTTTAGAAATATAATACTCAAGCACGATTTTTAAGTATTTTGAAGTTGTTTAAACTTGACTCGAGTTTAGTCAATGTCTAACTCAAGCCGGATAGTTGAGTTAGTTACTCGCGAATTTGAGTCTAATAGCTTGATCAACTCGCAGTCCTAGTTTACTGAACGACTACTTGACCCGTGAAAGGGAAAAGTGACCGACCGGTAGTATTGATTGAACACAAATTTGAACTGTATCCATCCGTAGTTATAAATCAATATGGGTGGGTAAGGGTCAAGTATGCGCTCCATGCATCACTTGACCGATGTCAGGATATGAAATTGTTGAATTGAGATTAATTGGGTATATTTCAATTAAAGGTCAAAACGATGTCGTTTGGGTTAGTAGTTAGTTAAAGTAGTTACTTAGCAATTGCAGGTTGTTAAGTTTGTTATAAGTAGAGGACCCACGCATGAGAGATACAGACTTTGTTTTTGGTAATCAGATGTATTTCAATTCCTCTTTCTAAATTCTATTTCTTCCCCATTCTCTCTGATTCTCTCCCTCTCTGCAATCTTCAGCTCATTTCCCAACTTAATCCCCAATCGTAACTCAGATATAAACAATTGCACTTAAGTTCCTGACAAATTGGTATCAGAGCAAGAGATCCTTGGAAATTACCATTAGCAATGGCAGAAGGCACTAGATTCCGGTCATTGGAGGAGCAAGTTAAGAAACAAGAAATCAAGCTGCAGGAATTGGTAGAATCTCTCCATACATCACAGTCGGAGCAGCAGCAAATTAAAAAGGAATTGAAACAGGAACTGGAGGAGAGTAGCAAACGGATGGAAGGCCTATTATTAGGTATGGAGCAGAATTTTCTCAAAATTTTGGAGCAAAAGCTGAACAATCTTCTGCTAAGGACTCCTATGAAGGAGAAGACTACTGAAGGGGATGGAAGATTGCCAGTAGATCAGACGCCACTGTTACCAACTCCACCAGCTCACTGCAGGATACAACCTGAAGGCGAAGCTCAGAAACTCTTCAAGAAGGACTGGAGTAAGTTTCAGATTCCAAATCCTCCTAAAATTGATTTACAGCTATTTTCTGGAGAACATCCTAGGGTTTGGCTGAGGAAATGTAATAAATACTTTTTGAATTATCAAGTTCCACACGAGCATAAAATTGAAATCATTGAAATGTATCTGGATGGCAAGGCTGACAAATGGTTCCAAGGTGTAAAAATTGAAAAGCCTAGATTAGGATGGGAGGAATTTGAAGATATGTTATGTAGGAGGTTTAATGATAGATCGTGTAAGGATATAGTGGAAGAATTCAATAAACTGCAACAAGTAGGCAGTATCGAGGACTATCAGGAGAGATTTGAGGAGCTGAAGCCTTTGATGATGATCAAAAATAGAAACCTGGATGAAAACTATTTTATTTCCAGTTTCATAAGTGGACTTAAGGAAGAAATTAAGCCTGTGGTCAGGATGCTGAAACCTGCCACACTATCTGAAGCCTTCGAGCTATCTCAATGGCAAGAGCAAGTCATAAGAATCCAGAATAAAAGCTCCAAGGAAAACACCAGGCCAATGGGAGAAAACAAATTTGGCATAACCAGAAGTGCTAACACTTCTGTTGGAACAAATTCTTACAAGGTCCCTGCCACTAGCAATTTTAAGCACACTAAGTTTAGGAGTTCACCAGGGGATACTAAGGAACCAGCAAAGTTGTCTGCTCAGGAGTTGCAGTATAGGAGGAGTAATGGATTGTGTTTCAGGTGCGGAGAGAAGTATGGAATGGGACATCAGTGTAGAGTGGGTCACTCAAATTGTATGACACTGGAAGAGGAGGAGGATTCTGCATTTGAGGATGCCCTTGGAGAACAAGATGAACAGACTGGGAATCTTGGACAGGCCATGGAAGTGTCACTGCATGCTTTATCTGAGGCTCTTAAGAGAAAAACTATTACACTCTCTGGAATCTTAGATGGGGAGGAAGTACTGATATTGGTGGACACTGGGAGCTCAGACAGCTACATTAGCAGTGAGCTTGTAATTGGGATGGACATAGGCTATCAGTGGGTGGATCAACCATTCTCTGTCATAATGGGGAATGGATCATGTGTCACCAGCAATGCAATATGCAATGGGGTGCAGTGGAGGATTAATCAACACAACTTCAGGTATAACCTCAAGGTAATGGAACTGGGAGGTTGGGACATAATCCTAGGAGTGGACTGGATGACACACTTCAGTCCCATCACATTCGACTTCCAACAACTCAGGATATCCCTGCACCATGAAGGAGATGAAATCCATCTACATGGCCAAGCCGATAACTGTGACATGGATTTGATCAGGGGCAAGGACTTAAGAACATTTATAGAATACAAGAAACAGATGTGTATGGCTATGTGTGGCCAACAGGAAAAAGACAGACAAGGGAAGTCAGAAACCACACCTCAAGAGGTAGAGGCCCTGCTACAGGACTATAAGGATGTCTTTCAGACTCCTAGCTCATTACCCCCAAGTAGGAGCGTAGACCATGAGATTCCTCTCAAACAGGAGGCTCAGCCATTCAAACTTAAGCCTTACAGATATCCTCACTGTCACAAGGAGGAGATAGAGAGACAGGTTACTGAAATGCTGCAGAAAGGTATTGTGAAACACAGTAACAGCCCTTTGCCTCCCCTGTACTACTAGTCAAGAAGAAGGAAGGCACCTGGAGGTTTTGTGTGGACTACAGGAAGCTGAATGAGATCACTATTAAAGACAGATTTCCAATACCCAATGTAGATGAACTGTTGGATGAGTTATCAGGAGCTGTGTTCAAAACCAAGTTAGCAATGGAGGCTTTCAGTAAACAGCAGCAACTAACATTGCAGACAACTATTACAAAAAAGATTCTAAGCTAGAAGAATTACATGTAAACACTGAAAGTTTCAGATGAATTTTCCAGTGACACTCAATCTCTCGTCAAGCTGATTAAAAGCAGTATTATTGCCTTGAAAATTTCGTTTTATTTCATGGTTCCAAGTGTTCAAAGAGTAGCGTAAGCAAAGAAATTTGATCTCTGGATGAGAGGTTCATTGCATATGGAGATTTAACACTAAGTTTGGGTTGGGACATTGGGCCAAATGTAACAAAGTATTACGGGGTACATTCGTGGTAAATTTCATTTTCTGGAAGCTGGAACAGATGATAGTTACCTAAACAAAGAAACTTACTCCCAGATTTATTATGGAGGAAGAGACAATATTTGGCTTTTCTTTTGGGTTGGGGGGGAGGGGGGGGAATACACCTATTAAAAACTTTTGGCCTTCATAATGTAAATACCCCTTATTTTCAGAGAAAAGAATTTCTTATGGGTGGCATTGCAAGTGGAAGGACATTTCTGATAAGTTGGAAGTATGTCAGGCCAATTATAGAGAAGATTAATCATTCTTGTTCTGAGAGTTGTAACTGATGCTTGGTTACAAAAAGTTACCGAACAAAATGCTACATGGAGAAGCCCAACGGCCTAAAAGTTTAAGTTTTAAGATGAAAACTGCTATGAAATGCTCCTTTACAAATGAATCGGAGATTGACAGGAATCAAGAATTTCCAAACTTGTCTATCTAAGATAAATCACTACTATACAAAAAGCCTTTTCTTGGAAATCAAGTATGCCAAAGCACATGAATTCCAAACCTATTCTTTAAAACTTTTAATAGTTTGGGTGCTATTGTTCATGTTGCAGAAATTGAGGCAAGAATGACCTCTTGCAAAAAAATAAACAAGAGGAACTTACAAGACAAAATGAATCGTGTTCAGCAGCTAATCTAGGACCTAAGGAACTTCAATCTCAAATTGCTAGCTCTCCAAGCTTCGTACTTTTAATTTCATCCAGTTGAGTATTCTCAGCATGAAAAATATCTCAGTCCATATGCATTTTTTGTAGTAGCTTTGTATTTCTCAATTACAATCATGAAGAACAATGCTATTGTGTATCTTTCCACATGGATGCAAACATTCAACACCACAAACCATCAGATGGTAACTGTAAAACTTGACAAGTTCAATGCCAACTTTCTAGGTCTGATCTTTCTTTTCCACATTTTTTATCCCTCAAGCTTGTCACCTCAAAATTTAAGTGTCCACCATCACTCAACAATCACAACCACAACAGCCTATTTTCACCTTCTTGGTGCTGTATTTCAGCTTCCATTGCAGTTTATAAAGTTGTCCTGATTGGAGAGAAGGAAATAGAGCTTTTGGGGGTGTACCAAGACAGTATGAATATGAAAATTTTACTGCCTTCACCCAAAACTGAAGGCCATAGTTCGACTAAAGAGAATATGAATAAAAAAACTGAATAACATAATAGCCCAAAGAGAGTGTGAACAGAATACAGGAATTCCAATAGAGTTAGTGAAAAACATGTAGATGAACCCTTTAATCATTTCTGTTATACACAAAGGATACATCAAATGAAGAAATATCAAAGAAAACAACAATTCTTTTTGGGGAGGCCAAAACAAGAAATCAGAATTCGAAACACCAGGGAGTTTATAATTCTCCATACTTTCTTGGAGTAGGCAATCTTGTGAATTCATGGACGTATAACAAATATACTTCCAAAACAGCCTACTTTTCTTGCAAAAATGATTGCAACCCATAATAGTGGTTCAGTTCTTATAGGCTTGGTTTACATTGTTTTACAACCTGGCCAACTATCATAGTACTTCTAGGTGGATAACTAATCCAGTCAAACTAGGATACCAGGTCCTGATTTAATATGTAAGGGGATCCAATACTGTATCTTCATTACAGTTGCTCCAGCATCATTTCTTTCTCGTCGAGTCTCAGCCTGACGGCCTACTCAAGGGTTCCCCACCAATAATCAACTAAATTTGGAAAACCAAAACTTCACTAAATTTCTAAGCATTAGCACATTTATTCACCAAAAATTATTTAGCCCCTCAGACTAGAGGGTACATTTGCTTATCTGGGTTGAGGTCTCAGTTTTACCATCTGCATCAAAGTTTTGAAAGAGTTCATAAGTGGCTAAATCTGCCACCAACCAATCAGTTATAGATCCTGCTGAAAGTAAGAAAAAAGAAATCAGCAGGAATGCTGGAAGCAATAAGAGTGTTGGCTTACCATAGGATCAAATAATGTCCCAACAGTTGGTACAACAGATACACCCAAGTTCTTCATGATTTCTACAAATTGCTTGTATATGCCCTGATAACTTGCATCAATTTTCTTTTCCTGCTCTGTCTCTAGTTTCATATGTTGCTTGGCTCGTTCAAAGTTATCTACCATAGGCAAGAGACTCTCAATCACTTCTCCCTGGGCATTACTCCTTATTGTTAGCTTCTCATTCTCTGTTCTCTTCCTGAAGTTGTCAAAATCTGCTTGCAAACGAACATACTTGTCCTTCTGAGCACCAATTTCATCTGACAAAACAGAAACCTTTTCTAACAACTCATTCCTCTCCTTTTCTACCATGTGTATTATCTCTTCAAAATCGGATATACTTTTCTCATCTCCATTTAAAATGGCCTCCTTATAAGCTGAGATAGTAGACTCCAATCTTGAAGGAAGTTCTTGGTCCGCTTCCTCTTCTGTTTTACTGAGAGGAGTCTCATCTTCATCATCAGTCTATCATGTATCACATTGATATTATTAAGCATGCAATGGCAGCTATAAAAGTACTCAAAATTTCTACCATTATACAGAAAATTTATATGGTTGATGAAAAATTACCATTACTTGTTACCTTTGTAAATGAACTGAACATTGCATGAGATAAGAACCAATAATAGGTTCAAAACAGTGACAGAGGAAGCGATCTCTAAACTTTGAAGTATGAGACACACACTGTAAAGTATACAGACATGGTACACTAACTCTCTCTCTCTCTCTCTCTCTCTGTTTTGATTCATTGGTGGTGGTGTAAGGGGAACTCAACTTAACCTCGTCCCGTTTTAATAGTTTTTGAAAAAAGAGACAAACAAAACTTCATTTTTCAGCAGCAGCCTTGAAGCCAGCAAGAAACACTATGAATGAAATACTTACTTACAATTCCTGTCAATAAGTTGATTTAGTAATTTCTCTGAAAGCAGACACCTTAAAGCAAAATTGATGAAAGAAAAGATGTATCTGTTCACTGTATTTTGACCAAATTCCAGCAGATTTGCACAATTTTTTAGAATAAAAAATCAACTAAAATAACAACATCTTTGTTCATGTTTACATATCTATACTTGAAATTCAGCTTGTAATTCCCCAAAATCAAGCCTGCTTACCAATAACCAATATCAAAATTTAATAAATGAATCTAAGATACATAAAGAATCAAAATTGGCTTCGACTAAACACACCAAGCCAAGAAAGAACATCAGCCACAACTTCCATCACGAGTTAAAAGCAACTAAACAAAAAAAAAATTACTTCGGAAGCGGAGTCTTCGGATTGTGACTGAGAAGCTTTAAGAAATCGGCATCTCCTGCTGCTGTTGTTATTGATTACCGGAATGTTTGCATTTTTGGGCAAACAAAAACAAAAGCCTCTGGAGGAAATGGGTTTCAAGGAAAATGGGTTTGGAAATAATTTGAAGAAGATGAAGGAAGGGATGGGCGATGAGGAGAAGCATATGAACAAAGATAAGCTGTTGAAGCTGAAGCTGTTGGTGCCGCCGCCATAGAAGTTTCTAGTATTATCACTGAAGATTGAAAGGGAGGAGTCTGGTAATTTCACACCAAGCGGAGGAAGAAGAAGGTGGAGTTGGTGTAGGGGTTTTGGGATAAGAGAAAACGATGTCGTTAAGTCAGAAAGCCGAAAACGACAAAAAAGAATAAAATAAAAACAAAAGGCCCAACTTAGCCTTATTCTAGATACATCTTCACGCGTGTGCTGCATTTTCTGGTCTCTCACTAGCGCCAAAACAGCTGCATTTGAGTTGAGTTCAACAGTTGACAACTCGAATTTTAACTAAAATATCGCTGAGTTTTTAGAAACCGAATCGTGCTAGCTCGATTTTAGTTTAACTTTTCTTTTTTGCCGTAACTGCACGTTTAACATAACCTAACCTACTCTTACTTCTACCAGGGGAACCTACTCTATAAGATGGCTTAATTGAGTCAGAAAACCTGACGAGAACTGAACAATCATTAAACTAAACGGATGCACCACACACTCAATGGATTTTGAACTCTTAACCTCCCACCCCACAATAAATGCGATGACCAATTCCTCTTGAGGGAGTTTTAGTTTAACTTGAGTTCATAAAAATTCGAGATCGAGCTAGATCGATTTTAGTTTTACTTGAGTTTGAACTTAAGTTAATTGAGTTTGATGAAATCTAATCAAGTTTAATGGAGTCTATTCAATCTAATCAAATTCACCTAATAAAATGATATTTCGATATTTCGCTTGTATTATAAACACATTTTTTAATTTACTTTTTTCTATTTTCAACCATTTTTTTTATCTCACGTACATCATATCACAAAAAATGTTACAGTAATTATTTCAAATAATACTCTATCTTACATATAATTTTAAACAAAGAATATAATCGATATTTTACAATAATAAACATAAAAAATAAAAATAATATATATGTGTGTGTATGTGGGTGCATGTGTGTGTGTGTCGGTTAGATTTGTCAAGCTTACAAGTTTAGAAATATAATACTCAAGCACGATTTTTAAGTATTTTGAAGTTGTTTAAACTTGACTCGAGTTTAGTCAATGTCTAACTCAAGCCGGATAGTTGAGTTAGTTACTCGCGAATTTGAGTCTAATAGCTTGATCAACTCGCAGTCCTAGTTTACTGAACGACTACTTGACCCGTGAAAGGGAAAAGTGACCCGACCGGTAGTATTGATTGAACACAAATTTGAACTGTATCCATCCGTAGTTATAAATCAATATGGGTGGGTAAGGGTCAAGTATGCGCTCCATGCATCACTTGACCGATGTCAGGATATGAAATTGTTGAATTGAGATTAATTGGGTATATTTCAATTAAAGGTCAAAACGATGTCGTTTGGGTTAGTAGTTAGTTAAAGTAGTTACTTAGCAATTGCAGGTTGTTAAGTTTGTTATAAGTAGAGGACCCACGCATGAGAGATACAGACTTTGTTTTTGGTAATCAGATGTATTTCAATTCCTCTTTCTAAATTCTATTTCTTCCCCATTCTCTCTGATTCTCTCCCTCTCTGCAATCTTCAGCTCATTTCCCAACTTAATCCCAATCGTAACTCAGATATAAACAATTGCACTTAAGTTCCTGACAAATTGGTATCAGAGCAAGAGATCCTTGGAAATTACCATTAGCAATGGCAGAAGGCACTAGATTCCGGTCATTGGAGGAGCAAGTTAAGAAACAAGAAATCAAGCTGCAGGAATTGGTAGAATCTCTCCATACATCACAGTCGGAGCAGCAGCAAATTAAAAAGGAATTGAAACAGGAACTGGAGGAGAGTAGCAAACGGATGGAAGGCCTATTATTAGGTATGGAGCAGAATTTTCTCAAAATTTTGGAGCAAAAGCTGAACAATCTTCTGCTAAGGACTCCTATGAAGGAGAAGACTACTGAAGGGGATGGAAGATTGCCAGTAGATCAGACGCCACTGTTACCAACTCCACCAGCTCACTGCAGGATACAACCTGAAGGCGAAGCTCAGAAACTCTTCAAGAAGGACTGGAGTAAGTTTCAGATTCCAAATCCTCCTAAAATTGATTTACAGCTATTTTCTGGAGAACATCCTAGGGTTTGGCTGAGGAAATGTAATAAATACTTTTTGAATTATCAAGTTCCACACGAGCATAAAATTGAAATCATTGAAATGTATCTGGATGGCAAGGCTGACAAATGGTTCCAAGGTGTAAAAATTGAAAAGCCTAGATTAGGATGGGAGGAATTTGAAGATATGTTATGTAGGAGGTTTAATGATAGATCGTGTAAGGATATAGTGGAAGAATTCAATAAACTGCAACAAGTAGGCAGTATCGAGGACTATCAGGAGAGATTTGAGGAGCTGAAGCCTTTGATGATGATCAAAAATAGAAACCTGGATGAAAACTATTTTATTTCCAGTTTCATAAGTGGACTTAAGGAAGAAATTAAGCCTGTGGTCAGGATGCTGAAACCTGCCACACTATCTGAAGCCTTCGAGCTATCTCAATGGCAAGAGCAAGTCATAAGAATCCAGAATAAAAGCTCCAAGGAAAACACCAGGCCAATGGGAGAAAACAAATTTGGCATAACCAGAAGTGCTAACACTTCTGTTGGAACAAATTCTTACAAGGTCCCTGCCACTAGCAATTTTAAGCACACTAAGTTTAGGAGTTCACCAGGGGATACTAAGGAACCAGCAAAGTTGTCTGCTCAGGAGTTGCAGTATAGGAGGAGTAATGGATTGTGTTTCAGGTGCGGAGAGAAGTATGGAATGGGACATCAGTGTAGAGTGGGTCACTCAAATTGTATGACACTGGAAGAGGAGGAGGATTCTGCATTTGAGGATGCCCTTGGAGAACAAGATGAACAGACTGGGAATCTTGGACAGGCCATGGAAGTGTCACTGCATGCTTTATCTGAGGCTCTTAAGAGAAAAACTATTACACTCTCTGGAATCTTAGATGGGGAGGAAGTACTGATATTGGTGGACACTGGGAGCTCAGACAGCTACATTAGCAGTGAGCTTGTAATTGGGATGGACATAGGCTATCAGTGGGTGGATCAACCATTCTCTGTCATAATGGGGAATGGATCATGTGTCACCAGCAATGCAATATGCAATGGGGTGCAGTGGAGGATTAATCAACACAACTTCAGGTATAACCTCAAGGTAATGGAACTGGGAGGTTGGGACATAATCCTAGGAGTGGACTGGATGACACACTTCAGTCCCATCACATTCGACTTCCAACAACTCAGGATATCCCTGCACCATGAAGGAGATGAAATCCATCTACATGGCCAAGCCGATAACTGTGACATGGATTTGATCAGGGGCAAGGACTTAAGAACATTTATAGAATACAAGAAACAGATGTGTATGGCTATGTGTGGCCAACAGGAAAAAGACAGACAAGGGAAGTCAGAAACCACACCTCAAGAGGTAGAGGCCCTGCTACAGGACTATAAGGATGTCTTTCAGACTCCTAGCTCATTACCCCCAAGTAGGAGCGTAGACCATGAGATTCCTCTCAAACAGGAGGCTCAGCCATTCAAACTTAAGCCTTACAGATATCCTCACTGTCACAAGGAGGAGATAGAGAGACAGGTTACTGAAATGCTGCAGAAAGGTATTGTGAAACACAGTAACAGCCCCTTTGCCTCCCCTGTACTACTAGTCAAGAAGAAGGAAGGCACCTGGAGGTTTTGTGTGGACTACAGGAAGCTGAATGAGATCACTATTAAAGACAAATTTCCAATACCCAATGTAGATGAACTGTTGGATGAGTTATCAGGAGCTGTGTTCAAAACCAAGTTAGATTTGACTGCAGGCTATCACCAAATCAGAGTGAAACCACAGGACACCTTTAAAACAGCCTTCCAAACTCACTGTGGTCATTTTGAATTCTTGGTAATGCCTTTTGGGCTCACAAATGCCCCTGCAACCTTTCAGTCACTCATGAATCAGGTATTTCAACCTTACCTGAGGAAATTTATTTTAGTCTTCTTTGATGATATTTTGATATATAGCCACACACTGGAAGATCATGTTCAACATCTAAGGATTGTACTGGACCTGCTGAGAAAGCATCAACTCTATGTGAAGAAATCCAAGTGTGCGTTTGCTCAGAAACAAGTGGACTACCTGGGGCACACTATCATTGATCAGGGGGTTAGTATGGATGACTCCAAGGTCCATAGCATTTCACAATGGCCAATACCAAGATCTGTCAAGGAACTGAGAGGATTTTTGGGACTTACTGGCTATTATAGGAGGTTCATTAAACAATATGGACTTGTATGCAAGCCACTGACTGAGTTACTTAGAAAGGACAATTTTAAGTGGAACACACAGGCACAGGCTGCATTTGATCTCTTGAAGCAACTCATGTGTTCAGCTCCTGTTCTTAAATTACCAGATTTTAAGCAGGCTTTTGTGATAGAGACAGATGCCAGTGGAGGGGGCATTGGAGCAGTTCTGATGCAGGAAGGACATCCCATAGCCTTCCTGAGCAAGGCACTATCCACAAGGAACCTGGGCCTATCAGTCTATGAGAAAGAATTGCTTGCTCTGGTGATGGCAGTTACCAAATGGACACTACTTGGTTGGAAATCACTTCATCATCCGCATGGATCATCAGTCATTGAAGTACCTACTGGATCAGAAGCTGAACACTGCCCTTCAACACAAATGGATGACCAAGCTAATGGGATTGGACTATGAGATACAATACAAGAAGGGTGCTGAGAATCAAGTAGCAGATGCACTATCCAGGCGACCTAATGATGTTCACCACCTTCCACTTAGTTCCTGTCTAGCCATCACTACTGTTAGACCTGGGTGGATTGAGGAACTGCAGAGGAGCTATGAGGGTGACACTCAGTGCCAAGATATCATAGCTCAGTTACTGTTGGATTCCACCTCACATTCTGACTACACTTGGGTTGATGGAGTACTTAGACATCAAGGTAAGATTTTTGTTGGTAGTGCCAATGAGACCAGGAACAAGGTCATTAGGGTCCTACATGCCTCAGCATTAGGGGGCCACTCTGGTCAGAGGAATTGTTGGCATAAGGTAAAGAGCCTGTTTTACTGGCCAGGAATGAAGGAAGAAGTAGTGTCATTCATAAGGAACTGTGACGTCTGCCAGAGAAATAAGTCTGAGCATGTTCCCTACCCTGGACTACTGCAATTACCATTCCTAAACAAGCTTGGTCTCACATATCCATGGATTTTATTGAAAAACTGCCAAAATCTCAGGGTTTTGATACCATATTGGTAGTCATTGACAGATTCACCAAGTTTGGCCACTTCATTCTGCTCACTCATCCTTCACAGCCAAACAGTAGCTCAAGCCTTCCTAGACAACATCTACAGGATGCATGGTCTGCCAGAATCCATTATTACTGACAGGGATAGGATTTTCACTAGTGGGTTCTGGAGAGAGCTGTTCAAGGTGATGGGAACTGAACTGCATTATACTTCATCCTACCATCCCCAGTCTGATGGACAAAGCGAGCGACTCAACCAGTGCGTGGAAAATTATCTCAGATGCATGACTGGGGAAATGCCTTCCCAGTGGAGTAAGTGGGTGGCAATGGCTGAGTGGTGGTACAACTCTACTTACCATTCCAGTCTTGAAATGACTCCCTTTGAGGCCCTGTTTGGATACAAACCAGTACCCCTGTCCCTTGGTCCTTACTTAGAGTCAGTAGTGCCAGTAGCTTCTGACATGATCCAGGAAAGGACCAGAATTGCCAACTGCATCAAGGATAACTTAGTCAAAGCTCAACAGAGAATGAAGTATTTTGCTGATCAACACAGAACTGAAAGGAATTTGCTGTGGGAGACTGGGTGTTTCTGAAGTTGCAGCCATACAGACAACAAACTATTGCGGTCAGGAAATGTCTCAAGTTATCTGCTAAATTTTTTGGTCCCTTTCAAGTGGAAGAGAAGATTGGGTCTGTGGCCTATAAACTTAAACTACCTGCAGGCACTAAACTGCACCCTGTGTTTCATGTGTCATTACTCAAAAAGAAGTTGGGGCCATTGCAGAACAGCTCCACCAAACTTCCAGAGTTTGACACTCAGGATCAATGCCCTTACAACCAGAAGTCATCCTGAAGAGGAGGGCCATTATGCGGGGAGACCAACCTGTTATACAATTGTTGATCAAATGGGATCAACTGGACTATGAGGAAGCATCATGGGAGGACAAGTCCTTCATTGAGCACCAGTTTCCCACGTTCCAGACTTGAGGACAAGTCTGATCTTAAGAGGCGGGAATTGTCAGGATATGAAATTGTTGAATTGAGATTAATTGGGTATATTTCAATTAAAGGTCAAAACGATGTCGTTTGGGTTAGTAGTTAGCTAAAGTAGTTACTTAGCAATTGCAGGTTGTTAAGTTTGTTATAAGTAGGGGGCCCACGCATGAGAGATACAGACTTTGTTTTTGGTAATCAGATGTATTTCAATTCCTCTTTCTAAATTCTGTTTCTTCCCCATTCTCTCTGATTCTCTCCCTCTCTGCAATCTTCAGCTCATTTCCCAACTTAATCCCAATCGTAACTCAGATATAAACAATTGCACTTAAGTTCCTGACAACCGAACCGACCTGCACCCACACCCGCATCTTGCCTGATTAGCCAGTTTTTGACCCTCACTTGCCCCATATATCAGCGAGTATTCGATTATCGAATATCCACCAAGATAGAGTTGGGTCAATGGGTACTCGTCCTACCATGCTCTCCATTTGATTTTTTATAATGCTAATTTAATTTTGTATTTTACATATTGATTTAAGATTTAACAAAGATTTTTTTCAAAAAAAGTATTTTGTCAAGAAACAAACATGTAAAGAGAATACAGGAAAAAGGGGAAAAAATTAAAAGAGTTCAAAATCAATGAAAATTTGAAATAAATAATACCTCTTTTAATATATATTCCACAACAATTAAACTCTTTCCTAAAATACATAAGATCATAATTTCTACAAATGAATCTTGTATATAATCTATACTCTCCCATATTTGTGGTGCAATTTGTTCAATGAAACTAATTAACTAGCTCTAAAAAGATTATTTTGTAGTATGTGTGTGTGTGTGTGCGCGCATGCACGGGTCGGGTCAAGTACTCGTGGGTTCTTAATCTTGTGACCTTAAACGTACTGTATATCCGACTCTCTTTTGACTTAGTTAAATAATGAAGATCAGATAACCTATATTCGAATTATATTGTATAGGATACGGTGGATTTTCATGTCAACGAGTAATTTTGTCTACTACTATTATTTTGCGTAACAAAGTACCCGCGCATACTGGAACCTACACTTGATTATTAAAATATAAATAAAGAAAATAAGTATTCTACTATCATGGAGCTGGAAATTGCCGAGTAGGAGTACGGTACAAGTACTTGATTGACAAAAAAAATTTGGTAGATAGTAAAAATTAATGATTAATTCCAAGTCAAGCAAAAGTGACCCATGGCTAAGCAAAACGAGCTCATTGAGTATTTTGCCGTGTGAATCTTTCAACTTGAGTTAATTATGATAAAATCCTTTTCTAATCACTGAATATCATTCGGTATCAAAAACTCTTGAAAAAAAATCAACATAAGCTTCATGGTTTCAGGCCACCACATCCAAAGCCAGCTTCACAAAAAAAATTAATTTTATTAGACTCAAAAGGAAAAAAGGAATCTAATTGGCCTTTCTTTGACGGTTTCACCTTACAACTTCAAATCTCTCCTGTCCTTAATGCTGCGTTTTTCTGCGTTTTGTTGCTTAATGTTGGATTTTATCTCACAAATCGTTTATTTTATTGAATTTAGATTTTATCCCACCAACTGTTATTTTGTTGAATTTGAGTTTTATTCCACCAACTGTTTATTTTCTTGATATTGGATTTTATCCTACTAGCCATTATTTTGTTGGATTTGGATTTTATCCCACAAACCGTTATTTCATTGGATTTGAATTTCATTCCACCAACTGTTATTTTTGTTGGGATTGGGTTTTATTTCATCCCACCAATTTATTAAGGTTTCACTAGTTGTTCAGATTTGGATTGTATCCAACCGATCGATTTAGTTTCAAAATAACGCTTCAAGTTTTCACTAGTTGTTTGGGATTCAGTCAAATCCTGCCAATGAATTTAAGCACACGTGTTATTTTTACTAATTTCAATTTTGTTTAAGAACTCATTTTGTTTGTTTTGATTCGATTGCAGTTGAAGCAGACAGGTAAATAATTTGGTGTCTATGTTTTTGTCTTGAATTTCTGTGAAACTCAGACAAAAAGGGGCAATTTGTAGAGACCAAAATTTTTATAAATCATTTCATTATTTTATTTTTATTTTTATTTATCTCTATTCTTATTTTTATTTTTATTTTTCTAAGAAAAATAATTTCATCTCATTTGATTTTTATTTCATTGTTTTTGCAGAAAAATCAGAAAGAAAAGGAAAGAAAAAAAAAAAAAAAAGAAGAAGGAACAATCAGATCAGTTGTAAAAAAAAAAAAAAAAAATTCCCATCACCACATTCACCAATTGTACCAAAAGCAAGGAACCAGTACAAGAGACAGCTGGATTTTTGAACAAATTTCGTGCAATTTTTTTCTTGCTTTTCTTTGTCCCCAAGCCTTGCTAGTACAAGACCACATCACCTCTACAAGATTCATCAAGAAAATTCCAGAAACAAGAGGATCAATGTTCCAAAACCTCCAGCAAAACCAGCTTTCATAACAACCCTTGAGATAAGGGTTTGGAGGGATTTTACCTCACTTAAATAGCAACAAAACGCAGCATTAAGGATAGGAGAGGACAAAATGGTGGAGGAAAAAAAAGAGAGAAAGGGAGAGAGCGGGGAGAGAGAAAAAGAAGAAAAAAGAAGCAGAAAAAATTTCTTGAAAATGTTGAGTCAAGGTTGAACATTCTGCCTTCTTCTGGATCAAAATTCGATCTCAATTTTAGTCATTTAGATGTTTTATTCATTTCTGCACTATCTACAGTAGTAGAGGGACAAAATTTGTTCACAAAACTTTTAGAGAAAACGCCTTTAAGATTGTCGAATTCGGGCTTGAAGTCACGACATTGTTAGCTCTTGAAGTCAGTTCCAAAGAGCTTTCAGCTTCACCTTCCCGCTCTTGGATTCATCTTTCTTCGATGTTTACTGCATTTACTCATCAAAAGTAGTTCCTTTTAATCATTTCCTCTTCATATAAGCCTCAATCCTCACCCAATCCATCAAAATTTTTCCTGCACTTATGCTTGCTATTTCTTCTTTTGATGTTTTTTTCCTTTTGTGAACCATTAGCTCAAGTTTCTATTATAATCTTGAGTAAAATATGATATTTGGTTAATAAGATTGGGTGTTGATGATGAGGTTGCATAATCCTATGTGTTTTGAATCCGAATTTTTTTTGGAAATCATTTGAGAATGGTTGCGGTGTTTGAAGGACTGCAAAGATTGCACAAAGCTTCGAACATCTTTGAAATGGAAATTTAGAAAATTACAATCTCACCCCCCATTTTTGCATAATGACACTAAGGCCCAAAATATTGTGAAAAATGAACCAAATCTTCCCTTTTCGAGCCTTGACCCTTTGTTGCATATTTTATGTATGTTTTGAGTAAATTAATTCTGTGTTTTGGGATGTAATTAAGGGCTAAATAATTTTGTTGAATTTATTTTTTTAGGGAGACATGTTCTTTCCTTTCTTTGGATTTAGGAAAATAGTTTAAGAATTGGGTTAAGGTCATTTTGCTGTTGGGTTTTGTTTTTGTGACATGGGTTTTGTACCTAAAGCCTAACCTTTTTTGATTGGATTTACTTAGCCAAATAAACGGGCTAGACCATTCTTTTTCTTTGGATTTTTCATTGGGCCAAAGGAGTTTAGGCCCAGAAAATAAATAAAATGGCCCGTTGGCCTTTTTTGGTAAGAAATTTAATACAAAAATTGCAATCTAGTCCCTAATCTTTTGAGAAATTTCACTATGACCCTAAAATTTTTGAATTTCTTTCAATTAGTTTATTAATTTAATTATAATTTGATCCCTAAAATTTATCTTTTGTTCAATTTTGATCCCTAATTTTTTAAAAATTATAATGTTGACCTCAAAATTTTTAAAATTTTTAAATTTTTACAATTGAGGCCCTATCAGTTTTGATTTATTAAGTATAATTGGTTTATTTTCTTTAATTGTTATTCATGTCTCATTTAAATGCATTTAATTAGTAAAATTTAGAAAGTTTATGATTATTTGTGGCTATGTTTGGA